TTAAATCTTAGCTATTTTCCAAATAAGTGCAAAAAGAGCAACGTTTAGGCTTATGAAGTTACCTTGACCTGTTTAGCTGAATTTTCACAAAGCCCACAAAGCACATCAAAACTATGATTTATACTGCTATCACCTATGACGATCATAAAATAGCTATAATTATATAGCTATTCAGAGCACATCTCTAACCGTTTCTTGATAAAATTTTCTGCTTTGAATTTTTTGTCAAAATCATGTGTTTTCCATAACTGAAGGCATTTGAATACAATGAAAAAAATATCAGTATGACACAAATGTTCTGAGGGGTCTCTGGTGCTGCTGGAGTTGGTGGGGTGAACCCGGTTTCTTCAGATTCACACAGTAACATAGGTCCCCACCAGATGGCAGCAAGCACTAAATGTGGGATAACACTTTCCCACTAAACAGCAGAGGCAGAAAATATGTGGGCAATACATATATTCTAAGGGTCACAAAGGAATTAAATTTAATATTTAGTATGATCTAGGAAAATAATCAAGATAGAAACTAAAACATGATACTTGGCACATTTTCTTTATAAATAAATACTCCAAACTCAAAAAGTGTCACAGTATTCCTTTTAGAAATTTGGGGGAAAGTGACCTCAGTCATTCTTTATGGCCAGCTTAAGTTTATTGAGAACCCCAGATAGTAAATATAGAATTAGCACACATGAGGAAACAACCTAGTTTCCTTAAGAAAATTGCAAGAAAGTAAGCAATTCAAGTATCCTTTTATTTTTTTAAGTAAGCCACACAATAAGATTGTTTAATTCAGATATAAAATTGTAATTGGCAAGGTATTTGAGAAATGAGAGGTTCTCCGTCATTTTCATTTCTTCAGAAATTTACCAAAAAGTCAATTTAATAACATCAAAAGAAAATAAAGGAAATGCTAACAGCTTTATTTAGGAAAAGAGAAAAACGAAGAGCAAAACAACGAGACATTGGACAAGATTAACTTTATTGAGTAAGACTGGGAAAAGAGACTGCAGATTTATGAAAAGGCTTCAGAAACTTCAAGAAAAAACCGAAGTAAAAGATCATGGAATTTTACCATAAGCTTTTTTTAAAAACCTTTTATTGCTAATCAGGTGCAGGTTTACAAAGAAGATCATAGTTTTACATTCAGCAATTCACACATTCGGATTTGCTCATCCGTGGCAGTCCCCAATGTACCATCATTTATCCCACCTCCTAACTGTTTCCACTCCTCCTTCCCTAGCCCTCTGAACTCCGTCCATGGGTAAATTCTGTCCTTTTAATATGACATAGTTGATCATTCTAACACAGAGGTGAGTTTAAGCCCAGACTTGAAGGGTCTGGGCCATAGTCTTAAAGGTCTCACCAATTTCTATCAAACCAGTCAGTAAGCCTTATCTCTTTTATGATACTGAGTTCCATGAACTTTTTGAAGCCTTCTCATGATCAAGCTACAGAGTTATTACTGTGAGAGGTGAAGGAAAAAAGGGACAAAGTCATATTGAGTTTGAACTAATCATAAGAAGAAAAGCTACCATGATCTATACATAAACAGTAACTATATTACAAGTCATCTAGACAAACACATGCCATTGCACAGAATGTAAAGTGAAGTCTCATGTCAACTCAAGGCTAAAAAAAATTTTGAGAGAGAGGAAGTAAACAGACTCACATGAACACCTTGAGGTATTGGAAGGAATTTATTGCTCATAGCATTTAATATATATCCAACAGTGATAATAGTGTACAAAATGTATTATCTACCTCAGTAGACTAAACTCCATCGAAGATATAAACTGTATCTCATCCAGCCTAACCTACACAGTGTCATGTAGAATGCCACCATGCCTAGGCAGGAACAGCAGCTTTTCCAAATTCCTACCAGCATTCAGGAACAAAAGAAAGTGGGAAATAACCATCTTGCGCCCTGCCCCCCCCACCACCACCAAAAAGAGAGAGAGAGAAAGGAAGAAATGGAAACCAAACCCACTGCCATCGAGTCAGAGCCATCCTATCTGAGTTACTCAGGCTGTCAATCTCTATAGGAGCAGACATCCTTATTTTTCTCCTTCAGAGAGGCTGGTGGGTTTTGAAACACTGACCTGGCAGTTAGTTGTTCAATGCTTACAAGATTACACCAGGTTGGCTCCCTTATCCTTCCCGAAAATCATGAAAAACACAACCCTCATCCCACAACACATCAGTTTCCAAGACAGAGCTAAATTCTGTGAAGCCTAAGAATCTTCCAGCCTTCAATAAGTTAATGAAAGAACAGTGGCTTTCGAATTTCCTTGACCAAAATTCATACCAAACATTACATTTTACATCCCCATCTTAGCAATCTGGTATATGTCTAACTGAGACAGAAAATTTTGTGCAATTCTGCTTGCTTAATTTTACCACATATAATGTGCTGTTATTTTCCATTATATTCCTTTTCTTAAAATGCTGCTCACCACCCTTAAATCGGCGGTTCCCAAACCTGTGGGTCATGACCCCTTTGGGGGTCAAACGACCCTTTCACGGGGGTTGCCTAAGACCATATATTTCCAATGGTTTTAGGAACCGAGGCAGCGCTTCTCTGGCTCTAGGCAGGTCCGCCCACATGCAGATACGCCCACATATGGGGGTCACCACAACATGAGGAGCTGAATTAAAGGGTCAGGCATTAGGAAGGTTAAGAGCCACTGCTTTAAATTGTGTTTTGTTTGAATAACACTACTCTACAACATTGGTCTTCAAACTAGAGTAAATACAACCCTGGACGTTTACAATGGTTTTCCAAGGAATTCAAAGGCACAAATAGTTTTAGAAGAATCAACTTCTAAACCTTCAATGCAAAATAAATATTCTTTGCTAAATAAAAGAGGTTTTTAAGTGCAGATTTGCTTTTCCACTTCCCTTATCTTATTCACCCTTTCTCTCACTTAGCAAAAGAGAGGCTTTTCGTGCATACTGATTGTTACTATGGTTCACTACTCAGTAACAATCCCCCCACCCCCCCAGCCCCCCCACCCCGTGATATCAAACCAGTGGAACAATTCTATCAGTATGGATAGTGAAAAAAGGAATGACTGGACAACACATCTTCTGGCAAGTCAGGTAGTTATAAAGTCTTGGCTTTCAGAAAAATTAAAGAAAAACTTAATCTGAGTTGTAAGCCAATAGAATAAAAAGGGCTTTGAAGATAGAGCATTATATAATACACAATTCAGAAACAGTTAAGAGAATTGAATAAAAATTGCTATGATAAAACTCCTATTTTCATCTATTAATTTATGAAAACCAGGGTTCTTCAAACCACAAATAGAATTGATGCTAAAAATTTATCATCTTTCAATAAGTAATATTCATCCAGAGATTAATGAATTGGGAGGGAGACCCAATTCATCTCATAAAATCTGGATTTCCAATAATTTTCATATTCTACTAATTCTTAAATGCATAAAATGTTTATGGTGTAATTAGCTGTATGCCTTTAATAATACTAACAATGACAACTTGTGTAAAAGAAATTTCTATGCAATTTTGGTTGTAGAGAAGTACCATGAAAAAAATTTTTAACATTCTCAAACATTAAATATTGCCTGAGGCCACTAAGTTCTCAAGTGTGGTCTCTGATCCAGTAGCCTCAGCATCAGGTAGAAAACTGCTAGATCCACCAACAGACCTAGCGCATCAAATACTCTAGGGGTGTGGCCCAGCAATCTTTGTCTAAGCAAACAGGCAGTCCGGGTTAATTCTGAGGTACACTCAGTTTAAGAACCACTGTTTTAGAGTCAAATTTTAAGAGATGAATGAAAAAGAAAATCCAGTTCAAGGAAGAAAAAAGTATATATAAAAATATATAAAAGTTCTGCTAAAAAAAATTTGGTTCATATATTTTTTTGTTAAATAGATATTTATGTTAAGTAAATATTAAATCACCATGATATTTTGATTCCACTGGGCATGTTCCCCCACCCCCACCCCCCCACCCCCGCATGTTTTAAAGAATTTATATCCTTATTTCTATTGCTGTTGGAGTCAATGGTCTAGACTAGCTTAAACCTTCGTAAGCATCTGAATCACCTGACAGGTTGAACGTTAAACCACAGGTGTTGAACCCTATGCCCAGGACAGAGTCTCTGGCTTAGTAAAGTACTCCATGATATGCTCTCATGCCTTATACAACTTCCTTTTTAAACAACCATCACATGGTTACTCAATACACTGAAACCCAGGAGAGCTGAAACTCTGGGATTGCGTGGTTTTTCCAGGGATTGCATGTTTCCCCCTTTCGGCAGGGCACTCACACATTGTGTTTTCCTTCTCTGGCAGGCTTCTTCTGCCTTACGCAGGTTCCAGCTTTTACAAGTTTTTCTCTCTTTTCCTTGTTGCTCAAGTTCTATGAGTTCCAGAACCAAGTGAATCTACTTCTCTATATTCGGCCCCTGAGCACAATTGTTTGCTTCATCCGCCTCCCGCCACTGAGTCAGTTCCAACTACTAACGACCCTATCCAGCAGAGTAAAACTGCCCATCTGGGTTTCTATACATGTCCATGAGAGCAGACAGACTCCTCTTTCTCCCACGGGACAGTGGATGGGCTCAAGCTGCTGACCCTGCTGTTAGCAACCCCACATGGAACCCATGATGCCATCACGGCTCCTGGTCTGCTTCACAACAGATATTAAACTAATTCCATGAAATGTAAATTTTAATAGAGCATGACTAAAGGTACTAGCAGAGAGATCTATCAGCCTGGTTAGCTAAGGAGGGTCCTAGTTTTAGCACTGAAATTCCTATGCCTGAGAATGTATCCCACTATGCTGAATATTGACATTCGGGTCAAACAACAAGGAGAAATCTGAACAGTGCATTTTTCAACTTGTTCTAAGTACAAATAGAATCAAAGCTGATATTGACGATTAACACTGCATTACCAAGAAACCCACTATTTTAAAGCAGTTTTAGGGTGTGTATGTGGGGGTTGGGGAAGAAGAGGGACTTATGAACTTACCTTCTTTAGCCAGATACAACTCCTTGAATTTTGCTCTCTTTTGATTAAATTCTTGCTCAAGCTGCTGCTGTGCACGTGAAAATTCAGCATTAATTTTTTCCAATTCTGCTACTCGTTGTTGAAGAGAAACTGAACAGAGAAAGAAAGGGAAAGAAAACTGGTTAAGAAGCAACAACTTGATAGGCTGGATGAATAATCTGGAGGAGAAAACAATGGGACCAACAGTTCCAGAGGGACATGGGAGAGGGGCAGGTGGGGGGACATGGGAGAGGGGCAGGTGGGGGGAAAGGAAGTGGCGTTAACAAACTCAGGGACAAGGGAACAACAAGTGATCCAAATCGGTGGTGAGGAGGGTGTAAGAGGCCTAGTAGGGTGTGACCAAGGGTAATGTAACCGAGAAGAATTACTGAAACCCAAATGAAGGCTGAACATGATAGTGGGACAAGAGGAAAGTCAAAGGAAATAGAGGAAAGAGTTAGGAGGCAAAGGGCATTTATAGAGATCTAAATAAAGGCATGTACATATGTAAGTATATTTATATATGAGGATGGGGAAATAGATATATGTCCATATATGTATAGGTATAGTATTAAGGTAGCAGATGGACATTGGGCCTCCGTACTCCTTCAATGCAAGAATACTTTGCTCTATAAAACTGGTTTTCCATGATGCTCACCTTCCTGACAATCGCTGAAGACAAAGCGGGTGCAAAAGCAAATGTGGGGAAGAAAGCTGGTGGTGCCCAGCTATCAAAAGATACAGCATCTGGGGTCTTAAAGATTTGAAGGTTTCAAGTGGGCATCTAGCACAGAAGCAACAAAGCCCACATGGAAGAACCACACCAGCCTGTATGATCTCAAGGTGCCAAAGAGATCAGGTATCAGGGCATCATCAGAACAAAAAAATCATATCATTGTGAATGAGGAGGAGAGCGGAATGGAGACCCAAAGCCCATCTGTAGGCAACTGGACATCCCCTTCCAGAAGGGTCGCAGGGAGGAGACGAGTCAGTCAGGGTGCAATGTAGCAACGATGAAACACAACTTTTCCTCTAGTTCCTAAATGCTTCGCCCCCTCCCCACCCACCCCACTATCATGATCCCAATTCTACCTTACAAATCTGGCTAGACCAGAGGATGTACATTGGTACAGACAGGAACTGGAAACACAGGGAATCCAGGGCGGATGATCCCTTCAGGACCAGTGGTGAGGGTGGCAATACCGGGAGGGTGGAGAGAGAGTAGGGTAAAAAGGGAGAACTGATTGGACAGACAACAGAAAAGTGGGTGAAGGGAGACGTCAGACAGTGTAAGATATGACAAAATGATAATTTATAAATTATCAAGGGTTCATGAGGGAGGGGGGAAGCAGGGAGGGAGGGGGTAAAAATGAGGAGCTGATGGCAGGGGCTTAAGTGGACAGCAAATGTTTTGAGAATGATGAGGGCAATGAATGTACAAATGTGCTTTACACAATTGAAGTATGTATGAATTATGATAAGGGTTGTATGAGCCCCTAATAAAATGATTAAAAAAAAAAAAAGAAGCAACTTTTATTTCATAAATCAAGTTACAAGAATAAACAAACATTCCAGCTAGCGATCGCAATGTCTATACATGAAACAGGTAGTCAAGCTTCCCCCAAATATTCAAAATATTCTAGGAAATTCTAATTGGGGAAGTGGGGGGAGTAAGGCATCAGCATGAGACTTAAAATACACATTGTGAATGAGTCAGGTAACGAGAAACAGCATAGAATCACACTGGGCAAATTTCCCAAGAAAGCTTCTGAAGTTCCTGTGCATAACTAACAGAACATCTACCCACTTCTGGAGTTGTTAAATATTGGATTCATGGGGCTATTTCTCCACAAATGAGCCGACTGTCAAAGCTCTAGTTCCTGCTTCTCTCAAGAGCAAACTCTAGTTAGATGACGCCATCTAATTTCACAACAATCCAAAGACATGATCAAAGCCCACTCAGAGAGAGAGGATACAGGTCTGTACATTCTAAGAAACTCTAATTACTGGGAGATTATCTAGTTTTCAGTTTGATGCTGATCATGGTATGGCTGGGATTGGGCTCTGTCATTTGGCCAGTTGATAAAACGACTGTGTAGTCTAGCTATACCCAGGCATAGTCCAGGAGTACAACCCTTTGACTCTCCCTTCTGCTCCAAAAGCAACCCAGCCAGACTATGACCCTACTGCCTCCAAGGTATGTACAAGGGGGTACCCTCCCCTCAAAATGGATTTTCCCCCCCAAAGCTATCTATTTAAATTATCTTTACAAAACAACCTTACCACCTTCAAAGTACTCTCCATTACACTTAATACAATTGTCAAACTCATCTGTTTGGGTGGCTGACAGCCACCCTCGTTTTTTCTTCAACTCTTCTACATCATCAAATCGTTGTCCTTTCATGTCCCTCTTCATTCCCGGAAGAAGAAAAAAAGAAGTCCCATGGAATGAGGTCAGGTGAGTGAGGTGCATGAGTCAAGAAAGGCATGCTGTTTTTTGCCCAAAACTAGCTCACTGAGATGGCTGTGTGAGCAGGGACATTGTCATGGTGGCACAGCCAGTCCCCTCTGCCACAAATCAGCCTTTTTTGGCACACAATGTTATGCTACCTTTTCAGAACCTCTAAATAGAAAGCTTGATTAACAGTCTGACCTGGTGGAACAAACTTCAAATGCAGTATGAGTCAACAGTTTTGTTGCCATTCAGGAAGTTGCCTGACTTCCAGTACAAGGTTTGTCATCAATGGACATTTCACCTTTTGTGAAATGAGTAAACCACTCATACTGAGTTTTTCCCTTAGTACTGTCCTTGTAAGCTGTGTTCAACATTGCAACAGTTTCTGCTCGGGCATTTTTCCCAAGCAGGAAACAAAATTTCACAGTCACATGCTGTTCTCTTAAATCAGCCATCACAAAAAACGAGATTCGAGTGAAACTGCTTTCACGAAAAAATTCACCGTGACCAGAGCGAACCATCCTAGGTAACATACTAGGTGCACTAACTCAGAACGAGTTGCTCCAGGCTTGACTAGCGTGGGGGAAAATGCACAATTCCGGGTTTCGGTGGGGCAGGGGGGGTGTGGTACCCCCTCACATACCCATCATTACTAATCAGCCAGTGCCTAATTACTGCCTACATCAGCGGAGCTCCCAATTCCCTGTTAGAAGCCATCCCAGATAATGATTTGCCTATAATTTTATCCCTGACTTCAGATTCTCTCTGAATGTTCTCGCCCTTAACTCATTACTCAGGTTAAATGAAAACCTATTCTATAATACGTTAAAATAAACCAACTGAGAGCGAGGCCTGGAGGGTGAAGGGAATGTGGGGTAGAAAGAGGGAACCAATTACAGGAAGCTAAGTCTTGCCTCCTCCCTGGGGGAGGGACAGCAGAGAGGGGGCGGGGGGAGACATCAGACAGTGTAACTTATGGCAAAACTATAATAAGTTATGAATTATGAAGGGTTCATGAGGGAGGAGGGAGGGGGGAAATGAGCAACTGATGTTAAGGGCTAAAGTGGAAGGCAAATGTTTTGAGAATGATAAGGGCAACAAATGTACACATGTGCTTGACACAATGTATGTATGTATGTATGGATTGTGATAAGAATTGTATGTGCCCCCAATAAAATAATTTTAAAGAAATAAACTGAGAAAAATGTACCAGTGATTTATCTATAAACAAAAAACCAAGCCTACTGCCATTGAATTAATTCCAACATATAGCAATCCTACAGGCAACACAATTGAGACTGATTAATTTTCTTCTATATACTTTCCAAATTTCTCCACACTAAGTGTATACTCATTAACGCTTTTAGCAATAAAGAATGATCTATAGATCACTGATCCATGACATTCCCAGACAAGGCTCACTAAAGATTTAACAGTTTCTATGTAATCCATAGAAGACTGGGGGAAAAAAATCGATGTATTTGAATTATGGTGCTGGAGAATAATATTGAGAGTACCACAGACTGCCAAAAAAGAACAAATAAATCTGTTTTGGAAGAATACTTCCAAGAATGCTGCTTAAAGGCAAGGTGGGTGAGACATCGCCTCGCATACTTTAGACATGTTGTCAACAGAGACCAGTCCCTGGAGAAGAATGTCATGTTTGGTAAATTAGAGGGGCAATGTAAGAGGAAGGCCCTCCAAAGAAAGCTGATGGTGCCCGGCTATCAAAAAGTATAGCGTCTGGGGTCTTAAAGGCTTGAAGGTAATCAAGCGGCCATCAAGCTCAGAAGCAACAAAGCCCACATGGAAGAAGCACACCAGCCTATGCAACCACGAGGTGTCGAAGGGATCAGGTGTAAGGCATCATCAGAACAAAAAATCTTACCATAGTGAATGATGGGGGGAGTGCGGAGTGGAGATCCAAAGCCCATTAGTAGGCCACTGGAAATCCCCTTGCAGAGGGGTTTCGGGGAGGAGATGAGCCAGTCAGGGTGCGATGTAGCAATGATGAGAAATACAACTTTCCTCTAGTTCCTAAATGTTTCCTCCCCGCTCCCACTACCATGACTTGAATTCGATCTCGCAGGACTGGCTAGACCAGAGGAGGTACACTGGTATAGATGGGAACTGGAAATACAGGGAAACCGGACGGATGAGCCCTACAGGACCAGTGGTGTGAGTGGCGAAACAGGGAGGGTAAAGGGAGAATGGGTAAGAAAGAGGGAACCGATTACATGGAACTGTGTGTGACCTTCTCCCTGTGGGACAGACAACCGAAAAGTGGATGAAGGGAAACGCCGGACAGGGCAAGATATGACAAAATACCCATTTATAAACTATCAAGGGCTCATGCGGGAGGGGGGAGCAGGGAGGGAGGGGGAAAATGAGGACCTAATGTCGGGGGTTTCAATGGAGAGAAAATGTTTTGAGAAACGATGTACAAATGTGCTTTACACAATTGATGTGTGTATGGATTGGGATAACAGTTGTATGAGCTCCTAATAAAATGTTTAAAAAAAAAAAAAAAGGCCCTCAACGAGATGGGCTGACACAGCGGCTGCAAAATGGGCTCAGGCTTAAGAACAATTGTGAGGACGGCACAGGACTGGGCAGTGTTTTTTCTCTAGTGCATGCGGTCGCTAGTGGTTGGGACCTATTCGATGGTACCTAACAACAACATGCAATCCACAGTAGACGGGGGAATACTGCTGCTGCTCTGGGTTCCACATCACTGAGGGCAATGCGTCATTCTGGAGAGTAAGTATGAGATTTTTAAATTGAAACAAAGAATGACACTTGGTCACCTGAATATGGATAACTCTTTGGAGAAAAAAGGAATGAAGGAATTCAGTGGAAGGGGAAATGTGCAATTTATCTCATATTTATACCATTTGATTGAAAAGCTCAAGTGACAGTCATGTGATTATAAAACAGAAATGCTGTTACTATTGTTTAAGCAACTTGTTCACTGAGCTTATTTATTTCTGCTGCCATTTTTACTGCCCAAGTCCGACTTATTACATATATTACACAAATTTTCCTCTTAACACTTACTGGAAGTTACTGATTACTGCAAGAGGTAGGAAAAGCCCTGGAAAATCAAGATAGTAGAAAAAGCAGATCCCTGTTCTCTTACACTTCTCTAATCACTACTCCCTCACCTAGTCCCTACCATCCCCCAAAATAAGCACACCATTCCTGGTGTTCAATGTAATTATATGTATATTTAGAAACGGAGGCTACTGGATCAATAAAGACTACAATGGTTAGGTTTGTGCTGCTTTCTTTCCAACCCCATCCTGGCTCTGGCCCACGGTTCAGACCCAATTCCATGCACCCACAAGACTGGCTGGCTAGCTGGCTCCCTCTGGGCTTCAGGACAAGTTTTTTTGGTTTGTTCCAGGAGATATGATCCCTCTGCAGTTTTACCTGGTAACTACTTTGTCCCCATTTTTGGATTTTGTTTTTTGTTTAATAACAAAATTTTAACTTAAAAATTTATCTCACGTACCTTTAAATACTTACAATTGTACAATACAAAAGGCCAAAATAACTATTGGAGGTTTTCTGTTTGTTTGTTGGCTTTTTTACAAGAAGGTTTTTACTGTTAGAGCTAGAAAATCAATTAATCCTGCATAAGACAGCAGGAAAGCATACAAACAGGCATATCCTAATGCATTAGCAATCCACCACAAATCAACCTGAAAGATGCTCTCAGAGGAAACACTATGTTTGTAACACAAAGGCAATAGGAAATTCAGAAAAAAATCAGCTAACAGTTCAAGTAGAAAGTATTTAGCTTGGCACCTAAAATAATTTTGAAAAATACTAGATGTTGTTATTAAACTAGTGGTTTAGAAGAGGGAATTGTATTAGAGCTTAAATTCTGATCACTTGATTTGCAGACAGCTATAGAAGACAATGAAAGACCAAAATCCGTTTTCAGAGTCCCCACATGGATTAAGCCTCTGGTGATTCCTCTTTGACCCTTGACTAGGGATGTACATAGCCTTTCTTTTTCTTTTTTAAATAAAAAATCATTTAAACTATTAAACTAATGTTATTAAACATTGATATTTAATGGATAAAGAAAAAAGAAGAAAAAATATATGTAAAAGTGATTTTGTGACCAAAAGACCAGATATCAACCTCATGATGCTGACTCAGTCCATGCTTAGATTTTCTGCTCATACCCTTCCCTACATATCCTCACGGCATCATGGGCAGATTAATTAGTGTTAATGCCAGTCTTCAATAATACTAGCCCTGAGGAATTTGAATAGCCAAGAACTATTAATACACCAGCTTTCATTAATCAACCCGCACATTCTATATAAGCAATAATAAATTCATTAGAATAATAAGATATGGGGAGAAAATTAATCTATGTAGTAGGTACTTGATAATCCAAGGGGGAAACTAACATAAGATCATGTACCCAAAATGTCTGAATCAAGAAATTGCAATAGAGGAAGAAAGGAAAAGAAGAAAGAACATGGTAAATACATGAAGGAAAGCCTCAGTGATTCTGAGACATATCACCTTCCCTGGCTCTGGTATTGGAGCCCTGGCAGGTGGCGTAGTAGATTTCAAGTTGGGCGGCTAACTGTAAGGTCGGCAGTTTGAAACTACCCGCCATTCCAAAGGAGAACATTCCAAGGGAGAAAGAGGGGCTTTCTTCTCATGAGAGACCAACAGCCCAAGGAGAATTCTTACAAGGCAGAGGTCAGGTATGTCTCCACAACTTATTTTATACCCAAGAAAGTCCTACAGAGCAGTTCTATTATATGGGGTCTCAATGACTTGGAACCAATTCAACGGCACCCAACAAATCAATCTGGGGCAATAAGGGTTCGGTGGTAGAAGATTAAGGTTCAATTCCAGCCAATGCACCTCTCATGCAGCCAGTATCCCCTCAAAGGAGGGCTGACTATTGCTGAACAGGTTTTAGTAGAGGAGGTTCCAAGTGATAATAGACTAAGAAAAAAGGCCTGGAAATCTATTTTTGAAAATCAGTGCAATAATGGCATGGCAGTGGTGTCTGGCCTCTTAATTCACACACACAACACACACACACACAACACACACACACAAGCAAACGTATTGCCATCAAGTCAATTCCAACTCAAAGTGACAATAAGACAAGTTAGAACTGCCCTTTTTGAGTTTCCAAGACTAACTCTTATGGAAGGAGAGAGTCCTGTCTTTCTCCCTCAGAGCAACTGGAAGTTTCAATCTGCTGGCCTTGTGGTTCACAGTCCAACATGTAACCACTATGTCACCGGGGCTCCTTTCACAAGGAGAGGTTGGAAAATCAAGATCAATAGCCCAAGGTTAATTCTTATGAGGCAGAGATCAGATATGTCTCCATAACTTTTTCTTCCATAACTTTTTTTTTAACAATTCTGACACCAGCCATTCCCTCACCCCACCCCCACCCCTCTATGCTACTCTGCTGACTTCAATAATTTATTGCAACGGCCACCCAGAACTCACAGACAGCATTCACAACTATCGCGTTTATTAGGAAAATAACAGGCTACAATTCAGAAATAATTATTCAGGATACAGTTCTTTAATCAGGATAGCCTTTTCTCTGCCATGCTTGCAGGCAAGCCTCTTTCTGGTCCCTTGGCCTAGCCTCTGTAAAGCTCCTAGCTCTGTGATTCACATGGTCTACAGTTCACATGGTCGGAGAAGGACTTGGCTTTCTACTCCTGTAAAGTTAGTCTGGGTGCAGCACTGATTCCATTGCCGTGAGTTTGGAGCTCTGCTGCTAAGTTCCCAGAGGTACCACACTCCTACAGTAGGCCTCAACCTGAAAGCTCAACCTTATCTTATGGGTTGGCAAACCTAGCTCCCCCAACAAGTGCCCCAAAGCACCCCACACTCTGCCATGCCTGCTACCTGAAAGCACTCCATTCCTTCGCTCTGTGGGCCAGGAAGTCCACTGCTCTGTCTTGTGCTGGTCTCTTGGTTCTGTTGCCTCTGCTGTCACTGTTTCGCTGCTGCTGCTGCTGCTGCTGCTGCTGCTTATTGTCTCTTGCCATCTCTAGTAGTTTCCTGGATCCAAGAGATTCTCAACAAAGGGAGCCCAGATCCAAAGGACGCACTCCACTCTTGACTTTTCTTTCTTGGAGACCATAAGACCTTCCTTTTCTAGATCTAGTATGGCTTTAAGCCTAGCTTGATGGCAAAATTGACCAATCACACCTTAGAGTTCCATACACCTTATTTACATTAGCAAGTTATACAATCTCGTTGGTAGGCCACAGTCCTAGAGAAAGACAGGATGCTTGGTAACGTGGAGATACAGCAAAAACTAGAAAAACTCCCAATGAGATGGACACAGTGACTGCACGAAAAAGCTCAAAAACAGGAATGATATAAAGATGGCACATGGCCAGGCAGTGCTGTACACAGAACTTCTCTGAGTCCAAACCAACTCAACTGCATCTGACAACAGCAACAACTCTACAGTCATTTGGGGCGGGTGGGAGTTACATATGAAGTAACAGTAAGCCATATTAAGTAATTCACTGCGCCAGTCAGTGGATCACATGAGTCAGATCTGCAAACCGATCATGGGGATGGCACAAGACCAAACAGCATGGGGATCGAAGATATTTATCTAAGCAGAAAGTTATGTCTGTTCTTCAGTCCAATGATTTTCCATGCTCTTTTATATGGCAGTGAATTACATGGTCGAAAAACATGAGAAACAAAAGCCACAATCTATAAAAACTGTATGAGTCCACTTATACCCATACAAGCACTTATAAAACAGCTGAACACCAGGCCTTTTTACATTATTAACTAAACTAAATATCGATCAGAAATTGAGATGACTTAAAACTTGGTAAAATTCATACATTGGTAGTTGAACTATATTATATATCGTGACAACAATTTTTTTAAATCATTTTATTGGGGGCTCATACAACTCTTATCACAATCCATACATCCATTGTGTCAAGCACACTTGTACAT